CTACTCAGGCTTGCTTAAAGCTCGTATCAATTTAATGATATTTTGACTTAGAGACCAAATTTAACTATAAAAAAGAACAGTAACAAAACATCTACACTCAAGTAACTATAAATACTGCTTTGGAAAAAGAAAAGGAAAAAAGAAAAAGACAATGTTGTAGAGAATGAGTGGATGTTTCATTGGAAAAAGAACATAACGAACTTACATGCATTGGAAAGAGAACATAACGAACTTACATTAATTAAGAAAATAACAGAGAACAACTCGGTAGAATAGGTGTTAATAATCTTAGCTTCAGTTCTAAGTTTTTCTAACCTTCCGGACCTTTATCTATCTCCAAACCATACCGACCCATGTACATCTTAACATACATTATGTCATTGTTTAATTATTTAGTTGTTTTTTTTTAATTATGATTATGTTATTCTTGAAAAAAAAAATACATTAGAAGTTTATTTGATCATCATTTTATTTTGTTACTCCAATCATATGTTTAATTTTTATCATTTATAAAATGTTACAAAATAATTTATATGTTTATATTAACTTCGTAAAAGTATATCAATATATTTTGTACGAATTCATTATGATAGAAATTTGGATCAAATGTAATATTTTTTTGTTACGAAAAATATCTATATTCAAAGTTGATATATTTTATAATTATTTGATAATTACGTTAAACTACTTTTAGTTAACTGAATTTTATTTGTTATTATTCAGACTTATAATTTTACTATAAATTATACTTTAAATAATACATAAATATCTTACAGGCTATGAAATATTATTTCAAATACACAAATTAATTTTCAATTGACAATATCATAACTAATTCTTTTGATTTTTTGTGAATCACCCATGAGACGATTACATCATTACATCATAAACATAACATTAAGATTTCTGGGAAATATAATATAAATAAAATATAAAATAGTATTTTATGATTTTTTTTACATCTTTACTGATTTATGATATTTATGTTTGTTAATTCTTATATAATTTTTTAAGTTTAAAAATTCATGATTCTCAATAATAGGTTTTGGTGTAATAATATTTTGATTATTATTTTTAAGATTGTAAGAATTTCTGGTATTAATAATTTATTTAAAAACACTTAAATTAATCCTTATAATATCATACATGAAGATTAAAATAATTATATATATACAATTAAATAATTGTTTCAAACCCATTTATTTTCTATGTTGAGTCTACAATTAATATACATAAAATAGCAAAGATTCACACAAAAAATTATGGCATTCTTTTATGATTTCGCAAAAATAATCGCTATTTTGATGTCAAATAAATTAAGGAATTATGCATTACCCTTATGGGGTATGAACTTTCATTTATCTAGATTTTTTCTTCATATCATTTGTAATTGTTCAATTTTATTTATAGAATATCTTAAAAGTAAAACACATTGTGAAATTCTTAAACTATTTTAGGTCACCAAAAAAACTTAATATTAAAAAAATGGGTTACAATATGTGTTAGTTTGTAATGTTAAAAAATAAAAACAATCACTGAATATCCAAAATAGTTATATATTTTAAGTTTTATCAATATATATAACATTTTTTAATAAGTATCGTTTAAAAAAATTATAATTATTTTTTATCTTTATTGCAGCAAAACTATTGATTGTATTATTGTATAGTTGTTAGCATTTTTATTTTTTATTGTTTTCCTTTTGAAATGGCATGCTTAACATATCATTGGTTTTTTGTGTGTTTTAGTGATAAAA